CAATACCTTTTTCATATTCAGATTGCCACACAACATATTGTGCTGGAGTCATAAGCATAGAAAAAAGCATTTTCCAATCATGCAATAACATAACTGTATTAGCTGTAACCAAAGAATCAAGTATTCCCCTAGTAAAAGGAGAATGCAATCCATAAGTTGTAACTGCATCTTTTATATTTTTCAAAACTTTAAACTCAATGCTACTATGAACATTGCCTCCTCCCCCAGGGATGATAGTCATAGGATAAGCAGAAGGTTCTTCTGTTTCTAAAGATAGAGGTGATGACAAAAGATTAGTTATGATTCCTCCCATAGGATTCATAATAGGAGAATCAGAAAGAGAAGAAAGAGCAGAAGGAGGAGGGGAAGAAATATCTGAATAAGGAGGTGGTAGGGAAGAATTTGATTCCAAATGAGCTGCAAGAGGCTTAGAAGTTTTTGAATTAGAAGAGTGGGAGTCAGAAGAAACAGGAGAAAAAGAATTTTCAGGAAGACTAGAAGGAGGATAAATAGTTGTTATAGCAGCCATTATTGCTCTCCAAGAAATAAATATATCCATGGGAGCTCTGGGAACTTCATGTAAATATTTTCCTAATTTTTCCCAGTGAGAATGGCTAAGAGTTCCAGCAGATGGATAGGCTGGACAGTGTGCCTCAATATAAATTATAAATTTATTTAAAGATTTTTTAGAAATAGGGTACACAGTGGTACCATTGGTTTTCTGAAAGGAATTAGCCTTCTTCACTAGATTATAAAGTTCGTCCCTATGCCCTGACGAAACTTGAGAAATCGAGGTGCCCATACTTACTTTTTTGTCGACGTAGCCTATACCAGGCGAAGAAGAATGAGGGTGAAGGAGATGCACTTCTAGACAAAAGTCACACTTTGGAACCAGTAAGGCGAAGGGATCCCAGACGATTAGAGATCCCGGACGAGCCCCCAGCTGTCGCTTCGAGCGACCGGTCTGTTGTTTCGGCTTACTGGTTGATTGCTGAATTCCTCTCAGAGAATAACCCTCGCAAGGGTGAGATTTAAAGTAGCCCACACAAGGGCGAGACAGCGCGGGACCCTTGCAAGGGTGAGGCTAGGCAAGACTCTCGCAAGAGTGATTGCCAAGCAAGCACAAGAAATAAAACACACAAAACACAAGCAATCTTCAAATGAGGCAACACTTTGAGCCTGGGGGAGATGGGATTCCCTGGCTGCGCCTGGAACAGATGGAAATGTCCGGGCTTCTCTGCTTTCTTGCTCCTTCCTCTTCCCCAGGCTTTTTGCTGTCCCCTTTTTATTGTGCTAATTCAAGGGAGGAGGTGAGAGAGGAATTTTACAGGAAGATAAAGAGATACAATGTTAATCTTTTAGACCAGGCTACGTGACATGAGCAACGGACTCTGTAATTGCTACTTTGTAACTGCTATAGATAAGCATATCTTCTTTGAATACACATTCTTTGTCTGCGGTTAATCTTTTATTAACTCCCTTCCTGTCAGTGCTTTCCTGCTATAATGTTCTGAACTGAATACGTGCTTTTTAGCAAGATTTCTTCTTGTGGAAAAATACAGGACAGAGCCAAGGTAAAATAGTCACATAATGATATAAAGATATAATAATATAATACAACAAAATCAAATACAAGACAAGACAATCTAACATAACAATCTAATCTAGGATAGAATAAGAGAAGAGAAGAGAAGAGAAGAGAAGAGAAGAGAAGAGAAGAGAA